ACTAAATAAAAGTAGTACAATAAATCTTATCATCATCATCATCATCATCATCATCATCATCATCATCATCATCATCATCATAATCATTATCGTCAAATTTATCAGCAAGGTATGCATTGATAATAACGTCTGATCTACATAAACACACCAATATAATCATTGTTATATCACCATATACCACACACATAACGATGCAGCTCTAAAAAAAGCAACAAAACTTAAGCTATATTTCCAAAGCTTTCACAGATGCTGTTTAGTCTGGGAGCATTCTTGAAACATGGTCAAACTATATAGTTTTTTGTTGTTCAATCTGGAGGATGTTCCTACCACGTTACTAACCACCTTATTATTGCTATGGTCTCTCTTGGTTTTGTTAATTGCTCTCCTCAGACATTTCATTTCGCATGTGGTCAATAATCTCCTGTAATTTTTGTGTCAAGGACCAGTACATTGAATACCAAAGTGACTTAATAAATTTACTAATCATTTTGCTCCTGGTCTCAATAGGCAACCAAGGCTGTAATGGTGGTCTCATGGACCAGGCGTTCCAGTACGTAATTGACAACAAAGGTATTGATACAGAAAAGAGCTACCCATACAAGCCAGAAGACCGTCCCTGCAACTTCAAGTCGGCAGATGTCGGAGCCAGAGAGAAAGCCTTCCAAGACGTGACAAGCGGTAGTGAGGATGAACTGCAAAAGGCTGTTGCCGGGGTACGTTTGTCCATGGTGTATTCCTTCCCACTGCACACAACTGCACTCTTATCTACTTATCACAACCCATTACCCCACTCTGTCTCTCTCTGTCTCTCTCTGTCTCTCTCTCTGTCTCTCTGTCTCTCTCTCTCTCTCTCTCTCTCTCTCTCTCTCTCTCTCTCTCTCTCTTTCTTTATGTCTTTCTTTCCTTCTTTCTCTTACTCTTTCTCTCTTTACCTGCCGTCACTTTCCTTCTCACAGCTTTTTCTGAAAGTAAAAAGTTTGATTCCTACTTGCGAAGCACTTAGTTGACAATGTGTTTGGTGCAGTACATATACGTTGTTTCAGCAAATCCGAATATATTGTATTTCTCCATACTTGGTCACCCGTATAGGTCATTCTTGTTCTTTCCTGTTCAGGATAATAATAATGTTCGAGTCCAAAATTTAAAGACTCTTCACACACACACACACACACACACACACACACACACACACACACACACACACACACACACACACACACACACACACACACACACACACACACACATACATACACACACACGCACACATATTATAATATATATATATATATATATATATATATATATATATATATATATATATATATATATATATATATATATGTAAGGTACGTTTACTTCCATGATTATATTATTATTTTGAAAGCCCCACGCTGCCCAGCCGTCTCTCACTCACCAGACTGTATCCAATAATATCGCACACTGTCACAGTTACTGAAGTATTTAGCTCAACATCATTGCTTTCTTCTAGGTGGGCCCCATTAGCGTTGCTATTGATGCGAGTCATGGTAGCTTCCAGCTTTACAGCGGTGGTGTCTATGACGAGCCTGAGTGCAGCTCTACCCAACTGGACCATGGTGTTTTGGCTGTGGGGTACGGCACTCAAGATGGGAAAGATTACTGGATCGTTAAGAACAGGTCAGTCTGCTTAATGTGCGTGTTAAAGTTCTTTCATTTGTCTTTTCAGTTTTCTATAAATGAAGCTTTGATGGCGATGAGAAACTTAACTCGTGGACTGCATGAGTTTCAACAGCTATTTCTCCAGAGGATTAGAAATTCGTTGAGTTTAAGATGTCAGTTCTTGTATGTTTCAAACAATTTGACGATTTTCTGCAGAATCACATAGTTAAGCAACACATAAAAAACACGGAAAAGTCATCCTACTGCGCTAAGAATATCAGTTGTAAACATGTCCACTATTAAGCATAATTTAATGACAATTTGTATTTGTGTATGGCTAACCTTGCGAACAAACCACCTCCAAAACTGCCAAGATAATTACTCTCGTGGTCGAAGTAAAATACTTTGTTTGCAAAACATTAGCTTTTAGGAAGGATGTTTAAAACCTGGCAGATGTTGAGAAAGGTGAGTGACAGCAAAGGATGCTGTCACACGAAAAGACTGGCGATTTGAAAGAAACAAGATTAGAGATGATGTTTCATTTCTTTGTTTCATTGCCAGTTAGGAACGTAATCGGTACGAGAAATCTTTACTCACCTTAAGCAATTGATTATCGAAATCCATGGTGTCTTAACATACTGCTTCTTCATCAGACTTTCCGCTGTCCTTCATAATCAAAATAATGTTTTGACAATAGTAATAACGCTGTTAATTTTCAACGGCCTTTTCTCTAGATTAAAAGGTAATAGATTTTGCACGATAACATCACAACTGGCTATTTTTTAAGGTAAATGTGTTAACGATCATTGTGGTGTATATTGTATCTTGTGTCGATAGATATATTATGAGTGTTTAACAC